TTTAAATTCAATTTAAATAAGCCTGGCTCAAAATTGAGTCCGACCCACTTGAGTTAACGGCTCTACACACTTTCACTCCATTTACTCTATCTCTTCTCTTAGATCTTGTTCTCTAGCAAATGGTCTCTTCATCTTTTTGTTTTATGGCCTTTTTTCAGCTTTTGTATGCCTTAAAATTTTAGATTTTATTTTTATTAGGGATATTTATTATTTAGTTTGGCTCTAGTTTTGTAAAATATTAGAAAGGAAAAATAAAATTATATTTTTATTAAAGTAATCTAAATTTAAATATAATGAATTTAAGCTTAAAATCTATTAGGCTTAAGTGAGATATAAAAGACTAAAATATTTGAGAGAATTTCAATTAAAGACTAAAATATTTGAGAGAATTTCAGTTAAAGACTTGGGAAGAAACATAATTTCTGGTGGTTCCCTAAAGAATCTAAAACTTTAGTTCAATCCTTCAAGATTAAATTGAAAATAAATTGAATGTAAAAATAGATGAAAATACCCTCAGTTCAAATATTAAAAAAAAAACCACTAGCTATCATCGCCATAGCACCACTACTGGTGATTGGAGCCTCGCCGGCGATAGTAGCCACTAGACCTTCGTTGTTGGAACTTCGGCCACCAACTGGACCACCATTGATGGTGACTGGAGAATTATGGAGAATTAAATTCTTCAAAGGTGGCCAAGGTGGGTGTAGAACCCATAACCCATTGGTTCACCAAAAAGTTATGGAACACCAAGCTATTGAACACATTTAATCATTTAATACATAAAATTATATATATAATAAACCTTGTTTTCAAACCACTTGATTATCATATTACTTATTAATTGCATAACTTTATTTGTTAATACCTTAATAGAACTTGTTAATTACTTAACTTTTCTTGTTAACCCCATGACTCCCTTAACAGAACTACATTATTTGTTAATTGCATAACTATAATTGTTAATACTTTAATAGGACTTGTCAATTACTTAACTTTTCTTATTAAGTTTGTGACTCCCACCACAGAACTACATCACTTGTTAATTACTTGAATTTACTTATCAAATTTATGACTCCTTCAACTAAATTGCATTACTTATTAATTATATAACTTTATTTTTTAATTATGCAATAATATTTGTTAATTGCATAGCTTGACTTGTTAATACTATAACAAGACTTGTTTAACTATTGTTTTGAAAAAGCAACTAAATTACTTGTTAATTGTGTGACTTTATTTGTTAATTCTTCAACAATATTTGTTATTTATCTATTGTCACTTGTTAAATGAACATATAATTTACATAAAAAAAATTAAGTTTGTCAAATAATGAAAATGATGATAGTTGAGTCTTCCTTATCAATATTCATCAAATTGGATACTCAATTATGTGTGCATATATATAAATAGAGAGAGAGAGAGAGACCCTAGAAACAAATGTAATATTGACAATTTAAATTGAAGAAATGACAAGCTATATTAGGCTTTTAGCAAGTATATTTCTTGTCATAATACTCAAGAGGTTTGAAAATAAAATTTATTATACAAATAATTTTGAGGGAGTCACGAAATAAACAAGTTGCGTAATTAACAAGTCAAGTTGTGTAATTAACAAATATTATTGCATAATTAACAAGTAATGTTACATGATTAACAACTAATGCAATTCAGTTGAAAGAGTCTTGGATTTGACAAGTAAATTCAAATAATTAATAAGTCATGTTAAGGTATTAACAAGTATAGTTATGCAATTAACAAGTGATGTAGTTTTATCATGGGAGCCACAGATTTAACAAAAAAAGTTAAGTAATTGACAAGTCATGTTAATGTATTAACAAGTATAGTTACGTGACTAACAAATAATGTAGTTCTGTTGTGAGAATCATGGGGTTAATAAGGAGAAGTTAAGTAATTAATAAATTCTCTTAAGGTATTAACAAGTAAAGTTAAGCGATTAACAATTAACGTAATAATCAAGTAGTTTGGAAATAAAGTTTATTATATATATAATTTTATGCATTATATGATTGAATATGTTCAATGGCTTAATGATCCACAACCATTTGGTAAGCCAAGGGGTCATGGGTTCTACACCTACCTTGGCTACCTGTGGAGAATTTAATTCTTCAGCCATTGCCGACGATGGTCTAGCTAGTGGTTGGAGCTCTGGCAACAGAGGCCAATGGTTGTCGTCATTGATGAGGCTCCGGTCACTGACGGTGGTGCTCCAGTGATGGTGGTTGGTGGTTTTTTTAATATTTGAACTAAGAATATTTTCATATTTTCTGCATTCCATTTATTTTCATTTTAATCCTGAAAGATTGAACTGAAGTTTCAGATTCTTAGGGAGTCACCAAAAATTATGTATTTTCTCATATTCTTAACTGAAATTCTCCCAAAATATTTTAGTTTAGGTCTAGTGGGTTTAAAATTATAAGAGTAATCAGGGCAAATTTTTAAAACTCCTACCTCCTCTTTATAATTTTTCCTAAGTTGAGGGGGCACTCGCCTACCCTCAACTATACGTATATCCGCCACTGTTTATGGTAATTATGAATGTGATGTTTGTAAGTGCTATTAACAATGTGAGCATAAATATATATATATATATATATATTTATATATATATATAAATATATATATATATATATATATATATATTGTGAAAAGGCACGTATGAATCAAGCCGAAGAAGTACCAAAAAAATTTAGAGTTGGGCTTGATAATTATGACTCTTGTAAGGTTAAGGAAAACAATTGACACTTCGCAACAAAGAAATCGAGGTAACATATAGCAGTCATCTTCGCTCCGGTGCTTCACGGGTACCAATTGGCGGTTATACTATGTTTTTGAGCTTAAGAATTTGGCCATGTGCCTACTTGATTCAATGCTCCTTGAGAGTGGGATACAGAATCAAAATGCCATGAATGAGAAGAAAAAAAAGATCAAAAGTGGAACATCCCTTGCAATATTTTCATATATTAATACTTAATGTTTAGTTTTATCGTGATTACAGAGCTAAGATAAAAACACTTGGAGGACTGGGGGCATTAAAGTTAAAATCATCCTAACAGAAGTAGAAATATTAAGTAATTTTTAAAGTGACATACATAATCAAACCTGGTAAAATGGCTGAGTAGATTTCAAAATACTATGTGCTTCGCTTTCTGCCCTAATTAGAATTCATATTACACATATTCATGTACCGGGGAAGGAAAAAGAAATCAGTAAAGAAGAAGATGAACTCATTCCATTCAGCAGAAAGGGTTAATCAATTAAAAAGCAAAGAAAAATTTGGAGAATTAAAGTATATGCAACCCAGGCCCACTAGATTCATCTTCAAAAGAAACAGTTCAAATTCAATTATTCATCCATCTTAGTTTTGTTGGGTTGCATCCTTAATAAATTAGATCAAGTGAACAGAGGCTCAACTTGAGTTAAATAATTATGGTGGTGGTTATTCGAAAAGAAGGCCGTGTGAGGTACCATTAAGGAAGGTAGAATTGATTGAATATTACAAATCACTAATATAAACTTCTTGTGCTCCACAAGAACTTCTCTGACCAGGCAATGAATTTTACTGAAATAATTGAAACTCCAAAAGCAAAATAGAAAAGCCTAACAAGGTGGGTACACGTGTTTTGGCTCTTTCATGCAAAAACATGTTAATTTTTGCAACCAAAAACAGAAAATATATCTATATATATTATAAGATCAGTAGATTTGGAAATAATAACCTTATGAACAATGTCCTGATGTTCCAATGTCGTGAAACAAAACAAAATAAAAACTGGTACAGAAGTTTGAAAATTTCAACAAGCAAGCAGCAAAAGAAATTTCTATCCAGCGAACTACACAACCAATAATTGCTTATCACAATATGAACTTTCAAATCCAGACACACCAGAAAACACATTCCATGGAAGAAAACAGGAGTGAAATAACAACCAACAAGAACAGACAACGAAGATCAGAAAATAATATAAATTTGTGAAGTAACAAAATCTAAGGGAGTTCCTGTTCCTAGTATTATAATTTTTTTCTAACATTTACGCACTCTCTGTGTGAGAGACGAAAGAACGAAGTGCAGGGAAAGGGCTGACAATGGCTGAAGCAGAGGAACGAAGTGAAAGGGAAGATCAGAGAGTGAAGCAGTAAAATTCAACAACATAGCCAAAAAAGAGCCGTTGAAAGAAGAATTGTACAATATAGCCGTTGCACACAAATTTGGATTCTCTTCGAGCTTTAGCATGTCATTGTCCTGCAAATCAAACGTCTCATTTGCCTTTATTTCATATCCGTCACAGTGTTTTTTTTTTTTTTTTAAAAAGCGAATGTCTTGTGTGCCTTATTTAAGAGTAAGAAAAAGTAAAGCATATTTTGTTTCACAAGACACCAATCCTTTATTTATACTAATTTTTGGATGTACGAAAAACATTTTTATGCAGTTTTTGATTAAAAGTATAAATATTTGATTGTACTAATAAGTAGTAACATTTTTAGTCTTGTCGGCAAAAAGGGGGTAAAAAAAAATTCTTAGTCTTGAACATTATAAGGAAGCTTAAATTATTAAGAGTGTGCAAGTAATTATGTCGCATGAGTAAGGTTTAATAGAATATTAATAATAAAATTATATTAAAAACATAAGGTATTTTTTGGGCATTTACACATTTATTTCTGCTTCAAAAAAGGACCGTGCGATGTATAAATTATCATCAGCAGCTTAATATGACCGTGCGATGTATAAATTATCATCAGCAGCTTAATAAATAGGGTACATCGTTTAAAGCTCTCAGTGAAGAATGCAGAATCGAACCATGACTTGCAAAGTGAAGCCAACATGGCCCTATAACCACCAAGCCATGGGTTCGCTCCAAGTCAAATTCAAACAAGATTAAGCAACCCCTAAATAGAGTAAGCAGAACACAACATGATATTCTGGTTAAAATAACCAAGAACAAACCAGCATCGTTGAAAGCTCTGTCAAATTCAGAAAAAACTTGATAGAAGCATCGTTGTTTCATTCAAAACATAGAAAACCAATAATGGTCACACATCGTACTGAAGCAAACAACAACAATAAATAAAGAATACCTAAAAAAAAAAAAACGAATATAATGGCCATAAAAACTGCTTTTGATCCAAGTAGGATCTGATGCCAGGCTAGCTACTACCAATGAATCTGCACAAAGAATCTGCATAACCCACTGCCATGTTGATGAATTGCTTATGAAATCAAATAATCAAACAACAAGCCACTACTGACTACAGATGCTCTTGATAGATTGCCCCAAATTCTACCCTCCATGATTGGTCATCATTTGGATAGGGGATTGCATTATGGTTTACAACATCAGAATCCTCTCTGTATAGTGGCTTCAATGCAGATTCTGGTAATTTGCTATCTGCCAGGTACTGTTTCATGGTCACCGTCTCCATTTTGTGTTTTCTCTTGAGCTTCTCCATTTGCTTTCTCAACTTTTCATTCTCTTCTTGTACTTTCGAAAAATTCTCCTGCGTGTCACAAATAAAAATTAATTCAAGAAAAGCATAATCACAATAATTGTTCTCTACATTTTTTTTTATTTGGAAGTGGAGGGGGCCAGACAGTTTCATTTAGCACACAACAAATCCAAATGAACAAGATCATGAACTCTAAATTATTATAACGTTATCATCCAACATAGAAATAAAAAGGTAATTAAAAAAAGTCAAATAATTGTTTGATTGAGAAGGCAAAATATAATGTGTTATCTAACTTAAGGCCAGAGCATTCTCTCTTCTCTCCTCTTGATCCAATCATAACTCTCAAGTAATTTTCAGCACAAGATAATATATATGTTGCTTCTACGTTTGCGACAAATGCAGCGTGCTTAGCTGGAATTGGGGAGAAACACAAATTGATGGTTTGATTTTGAATAAAACTCTTGGAAAATGTTTTCAGCTTTAAATAGGAGACATCCACCATAATTTTATGCTGAAAATAATTAATATAATTACCTCCGCAACAGATGCAGCTTGCTCAGCTTCTCTGAGTTTAACAAGTAGCTCTCCAGCTGCATGGACAGCTTCTGCAGTGTCTCTAAGCTGAATCCTAAGGCTCTTGTTCTCCTTTTTCAAAAAGTCTCGCTCTCTTTCTCTTTCCACCCTCAGGGCGGAAAGCTCAGCAGCAAGAGCTTTGGCAAAGCGAGCATGACCCTTCTTTCCTGCCTTTGCTGCTGCTTTCTTCACCTCTGCTATCCCTTCCATTATGGCATTGTGCTTTGCAACCAAGTCATTATATTTTTCCTGTAGATCAGCATAGTGTTCTACCATTCTTGCATGTCCAAGAACGGATCTTTTTAGTGCATCATCCAACTCTTCAGTGCACTTCTTTTCTAGCTTCAGTTCCATCTCCACCCTCTCTGCACGCTGCCGGTAGGACTCAAGGTCAACTCTCAGTTCATCAGTGAGACAAATCCACTCACTCTCCATTTCAGTCCATCTTTCTCTTTCTTTTTCGAGCCCTTCCCCACCATTATCATGAGAAAATACACCACTTTTTCTCAGTTGTATGGATCTTGATATTAATGAAGATCTCAGTTTGTCTGTTGACTTTTTAACTGGTGCATCACTACACAACGGCAGTTTGCTTCTTAGATTCTGAATTTCCTTAAGAAGAGCTTCCTTCTCAGTAGCATCAAAAGAGCTGTCTCTTTGATCTAACTCTTCCTCAACTTCTTTAACTTCACACGTTATGTCGCTTTCACTTTCTCCTCTGTATTTCTCCACCTGATCAAATCCAGATTGTTAACAATGTGAAATTCAGATCACACACATTATTCAATGAAGGCTTAGATTCTTATTACCAATTGATTTAGTTGCTCAATTCTAATTGCTTGCTCCTTGCAGACATCTTCAAGCTCCTCTCTCTTGGTGGATTTTTCCTTTACAACTTCCAAATTCTTTAAGAAAAGAAAAGGAAAAAAGAATTTAACCAGGTATCTTGTCAAGGAAATAAAAATGCATGGTTAAAATCAAATCAGTGGAAGACGCACCTTTGGATCTCTATCTGTTAGCCCATCAGAAAATCCTGCTTCTTCAACGGTGTCAAGAGATGACTTCAAACTATCTTGAACCTCAATGGACTCTTGATCAGATATGTTTTTCCGGCAAGATGCACAAAGTAAAGAGGCAGATGCATTGTCACCAGAAGATCTCTCCTGTATTGTATGCATAGAAGAACCGACCTTGTCACTCTCTGGACATGGCGTCAAGGTCAAGTACTCAAACGAGAAGGAAGCTGAAGACTTGTTCAAAGCTGCGTTCCGCTGGTGATGGTCAATAATTTGTAAGCCTCTCTGAAGGCTTGCTGCCAAGGATTCAGTAGCGCCTGCTAAAACCTTGCTTGACCTCAAGGAGGATCTCCGAAGTTCACCTTGTTCGGATGATTGGCCTGACACTTCATTACTAAAACTGGAACTCTCAGATACCTTGTTCCAACTTCCAAGACGACTTGACGAAACAGCGATGCTTTTCCTCTGGATATTTTTTATTTTTGGAGACTCTGATAACATTGGTTCATCAAGGATTGGAGATTGACAGCAAGAGATGACTGGAATGCCATCGCTGAATGTAGATTTAATTGCTCTTGATGTATCAACAGTGGAATCAAGTTTATCAGTTGATGCTAGATTTTTTAATGTTTTTTCAGAATTTACTTCATCTTTTTCGATTTCATCACCACTTGTCATGGCCTCCTCACAATTGTCGTCTACAGAAAAAAACTGGGCACAATCTTCACTTGCTGATAAGTCTTTAAAAGTTCCTTCACATGAACTATACAGTTCATCAATTTGCTGGCGCAATTGCTTTATGTCATCCTCACCCACATTTACCACTTCATTAGCATCATCATCATCATCTATGTGAGGTAAAAGTAATGAGCGGTTTAAGCTAACCCTCAATTGATTCAAGCTTTCCCGCACATTACGTCCCCGGAAATCCCCGTTTTTACCCCCAGTTAAGCCGTAGGCATCAGCCTTAGCTCTAATAAGTTCTTCCTACAAGAGAGAAAACACGTTCTGTCATTGTCAATCTCTTATTGATGTTAGCTTTTGATTCTTCAAAAACTATAATTAAAACAGTAGTGAGCTCTGGCGACAAAATTTTACCTTCAGCTGTCGAATTTGATCGCTCAAATCGTTAACTTCATCCTCCTTAATTTCATTGATAACTGGCTCATTTCTTATAGATCTTACTCTCTGTCCAAATCTGAGAGTTCGTAGTGTCTCCCCATTACTCCTACAACAAACCAGTACAATATTTATATCTAAAAACTCAAAAATGGTATACCATTGCTACTAGATTCTATACATGATTAAATTAAGATATTAAGATATTATATGGAAATATATACTTGCTATGGGGGGAAATGGAGCAGATAACTGAGAGCATAGCATTTCCACCAAGTGATTCTTGCAGTAAACGAGTCAAACAGGATCTTCCATTTGGAATGTCTCCAGCCTTTCCAAACTGAGTTTCTTTAGCTAGAGCATCCACTACGTGCCTACATCGATGTAATTAATCATTAATCAGCTATCAATTATTAGGAAGAAGTCTAAATGGAAGTTAATTAATGACAAAGGGTAAGCCTGATTACCCAAAAAGCAAAATACTGGCCATTAGTAAAAAAATCCTAAAAACTATATACTATTTCCTGCTGTAACAAATGATTTCACATGGTAAAACATTTACAAAATTATAGCGAAAAGACATCAACTTAGGTTGTAGAAAATGTTTCAAGCATAGTAATCTAATTGACATCATCTTACCCAAGCTGAGATAGGGACTTTTTTACATTCTTGCTTTCTCTTAGATTCTGTCTGCCTGCCTCGTCAACTTTATTTTTATCCAGTCCAGCGAGATCAACAAGGTTAATTCTGCTTGTTTTTGAACTACTAAAACCATTTAATGAGGTTCCCTACAGCATTAGTTGACAAAAATCAACAAATCTTGAAATAAAATTAATAGCGAAAATGGCTAAAGGTTGCATGTAATCTTCACAACTATAATTCTATAACGAGTTTTAAGTAGAGTCTATACCTTACACCAAGACTCGATGATACAAGTAAAAATAATATGTGATCTAGAGCTCTTAGAATTTAAGCTTGTTGCTCCAACTTTTCTGCTTGAAAGGCCCTGCGTAGCATATGTGGAGAAGTCAACCTAACTGACAAGATATTCAGTGGGGAAATGCAGCAGTCATCAGTGGAACAAATGCTTACAATTGATCCCCCATAAGTCAAACAAACATTAGTTTATATCTAATTTTCTAAAAAAAGACGGCAAAGAGATATCTTATTTTCAGCATCATTTGTTTCAATGCTTCGCTACCTTTATCAGAATTTGTGTCACATCTTCATAGCTGGTGACGTATTCTTCAGTCAGATTCTCAACATACAATGCATTCTTGGACTTGGAGTCATCCTTCATCTACAATAGTTTGGGCCATTCCATAATGATTGTAAGCACGCAACAATGGAGAACAGTTATAGTATAAAATAATTTTCTACTGAACACAACAAGACTTAAGTCTACCTCAAGGTTCCGCTGGGCTGGGTCAAGTAAATCCCCAATTTGTTCGTTGTATATCTGTTCAAAAATAACCAACAGAAAAAGAATGAAGCTTATTTCCATATGATAGGGAAAAGCACGTCAATGCCCCACTGGTGATATGTTATAAAGAAATACAAACGTACCTCAAGGAAAGAGCAGCGACATTGATAGTTAAACTGTTTGCCTTCAGATTCATTTTGCTCCTACACAGAGTATTTAGAACTCAGCCAAAAAATCAAGCCATAATGGAAAATGTTTAGAATTAGAAGTTAAGATAAGGAACACATACTCTCTCAAGTTCAGAAAATAACATATGGAAGATCCGAGGAACAATTCCCTGGTGACTATTACGTGAGGGCTCTTCAACCATGGCACTAGGGGGACCCCACATTGTATAAGTCTTTCCACTTCCAGACTAGTAAAATGCAAAACAAATAACAAACAATAACAAGGTGAATTTCCCATCAAAGGTGACACTGAAATTTACAATAAAACATTCATAAATCTGGCAATTATCAATAATTACCTGACCATATGAAAGAAGAGTAGTGTTGTAACCAGCCAAAGCATTCTTAACCAACGGAACTCCAATTGACTTGAAAACATCTTCCTGAACAAAATACAGCTATTAGAATCACCTTTCTTTATCGATTCACCCCAATATATTGCATTATAATTGAAGCAACGAAGGAAAACAATTTATTGCATAACAGTAGCAGCTAAGTCATATATTGGACTTAAGTTTGATAAGTCACGGATGAATAAAATGTGAACCAGAGGTCAAGTTCTTTACCTGATTGGAGTTCCCATCAAAAATCGAATCAAAAGTGAATTGCCTTCCGCCAACACATAATATATCAGAAGAAACCTTCCTAATGGTCTGATCTCTCTCTTTTGAATGGCCGTTAGTAGGTCTAATTCGTACAACAACCTTAACCAAAAACAAAAATATTATTTCACATGCGCATCTATAAACTGCTAAGAGACTACGGATTTAAGAATTAAGTTAATTCATACCTTCACATGTGGATCTTGACGTTTTGATTGCTCAATTGAGACCGACGATTCGGTGATTTCATTCTGAGAAGTTGGGGTTTCGGACAATAATAGCTTGGATGTTGCAGGCAACGATGGCTCATCGTCCTTAATCTGGATGTTTGGATCGATGGGAGGAGTGTTTTCGGCACTAGATTTGCGAAATCTAGGGTTCGAAGAAGATTTTTGCTTCGAAGAGATTGACCTAGGAAGCAGGTTTCTAATCGATGAGGACGAAATGCTGCCCAAGAAACTAGTATCGGCAGTTTCTGTCCTAGTATTTTGCCTCATGATTTTTGCCGAGCGATGAAAAGTGAATAGAAGGAGATTACTCACAACGAGGGAGAAAGAGAGAGACTTTGGATTCAACTGTTGAAGGAAAGTGAAGACGAAGAATGTGTCTTTACTCTCAACAAGGATGATTCGACCGTTATAGAACACCCAGTCTCACTCTCTCATCATCGAATTTGAATGATCGTCCTCCCTTTTTTTGTTTTTTCTTTTTCCCAAATAGAATAAAAAACAGTAAAATAAAATGTAAAAATAATATGTTACTTTTTATCTGAAAATGAATTTGAATGACCGTCCTCCTTTTTTTTTAAGCAGAATAAAAAAAATAAAATATAAAAATAATATGTTACTTTTTATCTGTAAATTTTTATACTTGTTGAATTAAACATTTGTGAGACTAAATTATTTTTCTAACAAGGATAGATTTAAAAAAATGATAATAAAATTTCTCTAAAATATATAAATAACAATTTAGTTTTTACAGAAGTTTTTAAAGACTTTTCTATTATTAATAAATTTATATAAATGACTAAATTATTGTTATTGAAAATAAAATGATTTACAAGTTTTGTTTAAATAATTACAACTTTCTTTCTTACATTCACAATAATACAATAATAAATTAAAAATTTAATGTACGAAGTTGTAATTTATTGTTGCATTATTGCGAATATAAGAAAAAAAATTATAATTATTTCAACAAAATTTACAAATTATTTTATTTTCAAGAAGGGTAATTTGATCATTTATATAAATTTATTAGTGATAAAAAATTTTTTAAAAATTTTAACAAAATTATGATATTTTGATGGACTAAATTATCATTTATATAATTTAAAAATATTTTATTTTTATTTTTTATTTTTAAACTATACAAATTATTAGTATCATTATTATTATTATAAAAATAATACAACTAAAACAACTTTAAAATGGTATCAATTTTTATTAAATTTAAAAATATAAATTCAGAAAATGTAAGTGCTTTAAATTTAGTTTATATCAAAAAAATTATAATTTATTTTAAATTTTTAGTTCAGTATTTTTATTTTTTATTAATCCAGTAAATAGTACATTTTTTTTACATTACATTACACAAATAATATATGGTAAACGAAGATATTTAGATTAAAATAAAGGTAATATAAAAAAAGATTCCCATATTGAAAAATATTTATTATAATATTTTATAAATTAAATGTAACATTTCAAAATAAATTTGAATATTGTCCACCTATTAAAAATAAAATATAAATTTATGATTAAATAATACTATATAGACCTCAATTTTTCAGGCTCGAAGCTTTAAGTATAGGAATATTAGCATGTAGGATATTTTTTTACTTTACAATAAAAAAATAATATACCCAACGCTATAATAAATTTGGCCTGAAAATTCCAATAATTATATCATAGTTATATTTATATTATTTATTATTATCATTATTATATATCTACGAGAAAAACTCAAACAAACATGCTATTTATGAGTCATAAATAATTATATGAGACTTTGCACTAATTATATGTTTGTATTAACAAAAGAACATATCTATGTCAAAATAATGAATTTTGAAAATTGAAATCACCCGTTCCATCTTGAAAAAGTGCAAACCATTTTGTCAGAGGAAAAAAACAAAGAACAGTTATTCTTGTGTTGTTTTTCACATATAAGGGGAAAGCTAAAATCCAAAGCATAGATATATTCATGAAACGGATGCAGTGACATTTTTTTTTAAAGAAAAAAAGAACAAATTAAGAAATAAAGACGGAAAAAAATGGAAAAAAAAAAATTCTTTGAGGCACGTGTGTTATTCTGGTGCTTTGGGGCACTTTAGTCAATATTTGCAATCAATTCAAAATTACTAGCCGTTGACGCTTTTAGGAGATTCCGTGTTAGGGTTGCCTTATCTTCATTCATCAATTATCAACTCAAATCTACCTATGAGGGCAGCCAAAAGGAATAAAAACGGGAGACTAATATTAAAATTCTACATAAAAAAATTTATTGATAATTAAATTAAAATTATTGACAACTGATTGTGTTGTTAATAACCTTAACCTTAATTCAATTATTAATGAACTTTGTGGTAGTTAATTTTTTTGTGTGGGACTTGAATGTAATTCTCCCAATAAACATTCTAAAATTCTGAAAAAAATAAAAAAATATTTCTTTAAAAAGCTGCTTAAGATAACTTCTAAACCAATTTTATCAATGGATCCATTTGTTTTAGCTTATTTCATAAAAAAATTACTTTTCTTTTAAAAAATTATTTTGGGAGTTTATAAGATGTTTGTTTGAACTTTTAAAAATAATCAGAATAAAAAATATTTTTGATTATTTAAGAAATATTTTTTAAAAATAATCTAATGCGGCAGATAAGAGAGAGTTTTAAATAGACCGGATATGTGAAGATATAATAAATTTTTTAAATAATATAATAATAAATTATTTTTATAAAACAAAAATTAAGAAAAATATTATAAAATTTAAAAATAACTAATTAATAATTATTTTTTATTATTGTAACCAAACATAAAATATTATCTACTTTTTATAAAATCTCTATAAAATAAATCTCTTTTTATAAAATTTCTAAACTATGTAAAAATTATTTATTTTTTAATCTTAAACAAACGAGCCCAATACCTCAAGTTAGACTTTAACAAAAAAAATTTAATTTATTTATATAAATATGTTTCAATATAAGTTTAACCTATTATTTTTTTTAAACAAATAGATCAAAATTTAAACAAGTCAAGTGATAGATCTTTTACAAGCCTATATGCTTATTTTTAATCTTTTAATAAAATTTATTTAAGTTATAATATAGTAAGTGTATAAATATATATATATATATATATTATATGAGAGAGGGAGTGAAAATAGACTAATAGTTAATACACACACACACATATAATATAAATGGAGATTTCCTTTATTAGTTTAATTTCTAAATGATATATTGATTATACTTTTATTTCTATATTTTTATATCATTTAATATATTTTTATATAAATGTGCGTGTCTATATACTATTTATTATGTGAGTACAATATAAATATAAATAGTTTATATTTTAAATAAATAGGCCTAATCTATTTACTCAAACAAGCATAGTCACAAGCCTGCTAACTTTTTTTTTTTTTGCCTAAAAAGGCTCATTCATAGGTTTTTGATAGATTTTCTAACCTAATTATACCTTAATTAGTACTGAAAACTATGGCACTAGCTAGAAAAATTGTCCTTCTAGTTACAACTTTCTAGAAATTTCTCTTCATATCTTTTGTGAATATGACCAAATTCTTTAGTGAAAAATTCTAAACTCAACTCTTTCTTTTCTTTCTCTTTACAATAATAACTAAATATTAGTTATTATAGAATGTGAAGAATATGAGACTAGGTATAAACACAAGAAAAATCAATAGGCAAGAATCATTTGCTTGCAGGTGTCACAACATGTGAAAAATAAGAAAATCACATTTGAGGCCTCCGAATCAAAGAAATGCACACCTAAAACTTCATACATTTTGAATTAATTTTGCAAGCCCAAAGACCTTATATATAAATATGTTTTCCAGTGAAAAGACTCATTTGCCCTTAATAAGTAAGAAAAAGAAAAAGTTAGAATTGGTGATTCTCTCTCTTCCTTCTTTTGGTTCTTCCTCACTCTTCCTTCTCTCCCTTTAGCTATAATCGTCACTTTCAAAGCTTTTGAGGTGTGATTGTGTTACTTTTATAATGCCAAAAGGGAGCCCATCTCTTGTCCTCTAAAACTAAAACCCTAAATTCCACCCATCCACTTCAATACGAGGCATCCTAGTTCGTTTCAAAGATAAGGTGATGCTACGCAAGGGAATCTCTAAAGTTTTGAGGTATTCTTGATGAGGTGGAGAAAAATCAATTTCTAGATTTTCTTTCATTTTGCTGATTTTGTTTCTATATAATGATTTATTTATTAATCACCATGCAAGATCTCATGTTTTCTTTGACTTTTGATGTTGAAATTTTTTGTAAGTTAGATGTTTCTGGATACCCAGCTCTCAATGTACAGTTGATTCTTTGTGGTATGATCCTTGTATGCTCTGACAAAAAAAAAAAAAGCTATGATTTGGATTATTGTTGTGCAAATAGTGATGTTGTCATGTTAAAATTGAATGGTTAGTTGTAAATTCAAAAAATTGGCTATAATTTAGTTGTTGATATAATTTGACTTATTTGTTGGTAGTGGACGTTTTGGAATGAAATATTTGTAATAACGTTATGATGGTTTATTTGTTCATATTGAATGTTCACACGTGAATTGAAGAATTCATAACCTATTTATCATCATGAAAATGCTCTCTTAGAAACATTAGATTATGTTTTGTGAAAACATGAATGTTTATTTTGTTAATATTGAATGTTCAAATGTAGCTAGAAAATAAAAATTAGCTTTCTGTATGTGGACATTTTCTTATATTAATTTTCTCATTGCAGGTTCCTACAAGAGATTAATTATTTTAATTGTTGTTTCTCTGGATTGAACTTTGCCAACACAAACTTTTCAATTTTGAGCCTTTGCTTGTGTGTGTGTATAGACTTTTACTTATACATATTTGAACTTAGACTTGTCAATATGTGAACCTTTTATTGTTAATATGTTAATAGTAAAAAGTGACAAATTGTAAAGACTTATAAATGCTTGGTTTAAACTTGTAGATTTTAATGGAGAAAATCTCAAAAGGCTTAAAATTGTATTTTTCCATATAAAGTTGTTGTTTGAAAAACACTTTATTTTTTTTAATAAGATTTCAAAAGATTATTAATTAATATTAACAAGTTACTAATATTGTTTTTACTTATACACTCGACTTTTAGAAAACTTATTAAAAGTGAAAAATTTCTAAAACACGTTAATTCGCCCCCTAATTGGGTTTTGTTGCCAGTTCTTTCGAAGTCACCTACAATAGATTTTGCAACATTTTCTAATGAGAATAAGGGTAACTTGAACGGAGGAAAATGTCACTAGCGGGTTCCTGTAGTATTCTTTGAATGTGTAATTCTGATGGGATGGTTAAATTAAATTGCAAAGGTACATTTTTATCTCTAAATGAGGAATTCTCTGA